AAATTTCTTGATTGGCTCTTCCCAGAGGAACGATCTATTTTATTTTACTGATAGAGCCAACAAACATTTCTAAAATATTAGAAATTAACAAAAGAAATAGAGTGTTCTTATTCAAATTAAAATTAAAATTTAAATTCAAATTTGAAATTTAAACTCAAATTTGAAAATTTAAACAATTTCCTATTTAATGTTATCAGGGGTCAACGGCCGCTCACCGACACTAGGAACCCTAAGTGTATATGTCCAAGGTAAGTGGAACCTCCTAGCTAAAGACCTGACCTGGTCCACCTCTAGGAGCTATCAAACTTCGAGCGTGGAAGGTCAGCCACGGCCACCCTTTGGGTTGCACTCCCAGCAACGGGCCCCAGGACGGTCTTTGGGACCAGTTCCCCCTCGGCCTAAGGTAACTCTTCGGGCTTCCTCGGCGATACTGATGCAGTGCTCTCACGGGGAGAGTCATTGCCTCGGTGGCTGCCCTTGGCACCCCTGGAAGCTACTCTTTCCCTCAGCACCATCACCTCTTCCCGAAAGGGAACAACGACCAGGGGACCCAAGGAAGAGAGAGGAGAAGGGGTCTGATGAGAGTTCCCCTCCGAACCGTTCGGAAACTCATAGCACTCAGGACCAGAGCCTGAGAAAGAAATTTTTTCAAGGAATTACCTAGAAGATGGAGGAAAAAGAGAGAAGATGAAGTCTGTTGAAGAATGGAAAGTCTGGGAGCTGTTCACTCGATAACCAAGGTGCCTAGAGACAAATGATGGGAGAACTGCGACTAAGCCCCCTATTTATAGGAGAATGGATGGTTTAGATCTTGCCCAATCCAGCGGCTGCAAGTCTCTCGCCTCTATTGCCCATCTAGGACGTGACACCCATCACTCGACCTCGGGAGACGAAATGATGCTTGACTAGCGCTCAGTATTGGGGAGACGAAACGACACTTGACTGGTGCCTAGTCTCGGGGAGACGAAATGACACTTGATTGGTGCTTAGTCTCGAGGAGACAAAACGGCGTTTGACAACTGATGCCTTGCCTCGAGGAAACAAAACGATGTTGGGCAAACCAATAGGTCCGCTTGCCGCAACCCACCGGCCCGTGCGAATGGACCAGGCAGATGCACGAACCGGTTCACTCGAAGGCGATCGTCCCCCTCACGGAAGGCTCTCCCCGCGCTAGACTCATATCGAATACGATCCCGTGCCACACACGACTTTAGACTATCACCACATAAGTAGGAAACGTGGAGTCGGCTCCGCCGAGCCCCTTTCGCCCCAGGCTACCCAACCAAGACCAAAGTTGAGGCACCCATAGCTTCACTCCTCCATGAATTGAAAATCAGGCGGATACAAAAGCAAGATGAAGGCAACACCACTGCAGGGTATAATCCGTTGAACGAGGTCCAACGGCACCTACTGGTATTGACACTCCCTTTGCCTGAAGTCGAGGCCTCTTCTTAACCCCCACCTCGGCCTCGGGAGTGGGGGCAAGTGATGTAGGCGCATTTGGCCGTCCTATACGGGGCTGACGCGTGTCCAACCAGAGGGTGCCAGCCTGAGCGTATCATGGGGACACTCAGGGCTCAGGCGCAGACCAGACGGACCCAATCCAAGAGTGTCACATGGCTTTGGTAGAGGATCCAGTCAGGCCCTCGTATGGCTCGTATCTGGACCATCCAGGCCCAACTACTCCCAGGCAAATCCGACTATAAATACGAAGCACCCCCCACAAGGTAAAGGGCTAGACACTCTGAACTCGATTTGGAGCTTGAGTAATCTCTAAGCACTACTTCCCTCTCGAGAACTTAGTGCTATTTAGTTCTCGTCTGGATCCCTTGCTCCCAGACCTCTAACTCACTTTACGTTCGTACTAACTTGATCGTCGAAGTCCTCGCCTCGGGTACTCACTCGAGGCCTCTGACACCTTTGTCCTTGCAGGATCTCCTTCGGACCCCTCGCACATCGTACTCGGTGCCAGTCTTCAACTCCTACAATATCCGAAGAAGACCTTCTGCGTAGGACATAATCCTCGGCCTCGGCTTCCCCTCCTCCAGACCATCGAAGCCCTCGGCCATCTCCACCGAAGCTTGGGAGCGAAATTACCTTATAGATAAGAAAATTTATGAGTTTTTACTTTGCAACGTGTCAAGGAAGAGAACACAGGGAACAGGACAACTGCTAGATTGGGTTGGAGCCTCATAACTCATAACTGGACCCAGGAGCCTCATAACTCATAACTGGACCAATGTTCTCTGGTGGGCCCACCATGGTATTAACCAAGTAAAAATCTGTTTAAGATAGAACCTTTTTTACAAGTGTTTAAGATAGAACCTATCCGTGATTATTTTTTTCTTTTATTTTTGTGGTAAGGATTGGACAGTAGAGAACTGTTCTATATATTTAAACTTCTGAAAAGATATGGAAATAATACAAAACTTATAAGGTTAAAAGTTACCAAATCTTGAGGATTTTTCATAATTTTTTGGTGAGCCCACTGGTGGATCCGTCCTAGATAATCTTCTGAAGAATATCTAACACGTGGTAAGTACCAAGTACAGGGCCCCAGACTTCAATTACCGGTCAGTGTCTCAGTGGCAACAGAGTTCCACAGAGAGTTAAATTGCCATATCAGAAGGTGTTGGCATCTGGGTACGATTAGGACCACTAAAAAACAGAACTAGGATCCACTACAAGAGTGTGCCTTCCCTAACAGTTAACAGTCATGATCAAATTTATAGGACTACAACTTGGGTACCCAGTTTTACGATTTTCTACTGTATTGGGCCTGAGACCTCCGGCTGGGCCCTTTCAAAATTTAACAAATGCTCAATCGGAGATCGCCCAACTTGAAATGACCAGGAAAATCCTTGTATGGGACCCTATTACTGGTGGGTAACTACTGAGGCCGTTCTATGATTCTGTAATGTAGATCCAAGATTTTGGTGCAATTAATTTGGCTTTTTAGGGAAGTTCATGGGTTTTCTCCACATTTCTTTTTTTAGGGTAAATTATTGAAACCTCCCCCTTAAGTTTCTGTTTGTTACTAAAACCTTTCTTAATAACCTTCCCTGAACTTTCAAATATAATTGCAAGTAGACCCCTATGTTAGAATCTTCTAAAAGGTATGATAATGTCCAAAATATCTATGCAGTTACTTGACCAAAATATTTATTTTCCAAGTTTTCAATCTCTGTTCTAAACTTGATTTATATTTCAAATGTGTCCATATCAATTGCTCAAAGGTAAACTGCATCTTTAAATTCTTCATTTTTGGTTTCTATAAAGTTTGTATTGTGTTTTTTTTTTTTTTTTTTTTGTAGGAAACCAACCTCATAACTGTAACATTTTTATGTCTCCTTTTAGAAAAAATTCTAACAAAAGGGGTCTACTTGTAAATTGCAACTGTATTAGGAAATTAATTTGGAAGAGGTGATTACAATTACCAGACTTTAAGAAGGATTTTAGCAACGGTCCATGCTTCAGCAATTTACCCTTTTTTTATTTTATTTACTAACAACTCCACCCCTTTCAATTTTGATGGATTCTCCCACTTCCAACTGTATAAATCAATAAAGATCTGGTTGTTTAATTATGTAATGAATGAATGCCCAATTGCCCATATATTTTATGATCCAATTAACCCAAGGAATCCTCTGCACTTTCTCTTCGTTGGTCACTGAATTAGATGAAAAGCCCAATTAACAATCCTTGAATTTAAAGTGTACCTATCATTGGGATTCGGGAGTTGAACTACCAACTACAAATGTAGCTGGATTTCATAAATTAAATCAATGTTCATCCTTTTAAAAAGCTTTCGTGTTTTGGTTGGGATTGGGATGTCTGAGATTCTGAGTCAAAGTGCAATGCAAAGTGTCTACTTATTATGGCATCCTCGAGCTGTTGGTATTAATTGCAGTAGCTAGCTAGCTTAACGTGTGCCTAACAAGCACCTGTTAATGGAATATAGAATGCACCCTAGGTCGATCCCCAATTAAAATCGGCCTACTATTAACGCAAACATTCAAGGCAGTAGATGGTGTTTGGTGTAGCAAATTAATACCCAACTGTCTCTTTTACTCATTTAATGCGTAAAAAATGGGATCCATGTGTTATCCAATCAGTTAATTATTGAGTCGTATCAGACTATCAGATATATTCTTTGACTGTTAATGGCAGGTAGGGAGAGTTTTATATATATACAAGGGAAGTAAGTGGCCATGTGTGTGTGGTGTGGTTGTGTCACACTTCAAGGATATATAGTTTTTATTGCCGACAACCCGAAACGGAAGTCTTTACTTCAACAAGTTTCGGCATTAATGACGCTTGGTTCCGGGATGTATTCGTAGAAGACTACTAGTTAGAATTGGTTTGTACAGAAAGAAAAAATAGATTGAGCTTTGAAGAAGAATTAATTTAAGTTGGAGTTGGAACCTGAGTGCGACTGATCAGATAACTATGGGATTTGGGTTCTGGCAGAGACATATTGTTGCCGTTCTTGCCGGCATTTTCTTCTTTCATGGCTTCTGCAACTCACAACAAGGTACCAATCTCCATGCATTTAAATTTGTACATCTTTCTTCACTACTCTAAATGTTGATCTTAATTTCCATGAAGTCGATCAACTCTGTCAGGCTTTGATTTGGTTTCTGATAGCAGTGTTGATGCTCAATGGAACTGAAGCCTGTTAGACTGATATGAAATTAATTAGTTACTGTTTCTACCGCACATTAATTTCAGCCGGTGATTAATTAATGGATTTTAAATCCTCTTAAATCTTAATTAAGAAACCAAACAATGGTTTATTAATTAAGATATAAATTAACTAATAAGTTTCGTGTGTGTTGTGTATATGACAAACCTCCATGAAACAGACGACCCAGATTACAGCTTCGTCCAGCAAGCAACGTCAGCCCCCATCATATCATACTACGACTACATCATAGTGGGAGGAGGAACTTCGGGCTGTCCGCTGGCGGCCACCCTCTCCCAGAACTCAAGTGTGCTGTTAATTGAAAGAGGAGGTTCTCCTTATGGGAACCAAAACATCAGCAACTTAGCTTCCTTTGCACGTACACTGTCGGACTACTCACCATGGTCGCCGGCACAACATTTCATGTCCGAGGACGGTGTCCCCAATGCGCGTGCGCGGGTCTTGGGCGGAGGAAGCTGCTTGAATGCCGGATTCTACACACGAGCTGGCACAGACTACGTGAAGGAAGCCGGTTGGGATGGTAATCTTGTAAACCAGTCCTACCAATGGGTGGAGAAGGTGGTGGCGTTCGAACCGCCGATGTTGCAGTGGCAATCGGCGGTTAGAGATGGACTGCTTGAAACTGGAATCACACCTTACAATGGATTCACATACGATCACATGTACGGGACCAAGGTAGGTGGAACCATCTTCGACCGGCAGGGACATCGGCACTCGGCTGCCGATTTGCTCAAGTATGCCAACCCCAAAGGCCTCACTGTTCTTCTAAGCGCCACCGTCCACAGGGTCTTGTTTAAGATCAAAGGCAAGCATTAATTAATAGCTGAACCAAACCTTCTCTGGGCTCTGGCGGTCTGGCCAGTAAGAACTAAGAACTAAGAAGCAGCTGCTGTATTAATTAAGCTTGAATAGTATTATTTTTAAATAGAAATATAAATATATATATAGCTTGCATGCATGGCATCATGCACCATGTATGATGTACGTAATAGGCTTCTCCTTAATGCATGCATCCATGACATGACATGGCATGACATGACATGAATGGTAACTGCAGTGCAGGTGAGTCTATTATTAGTTTTTAATTGGTTAATTTCCGTAATATATATTTTAATTTAATTGAATTAAATTTACAGGGGAAGCAAGACCAACAGCCCATGGTGTGATGTTCAGAGATGCGGCGGGAGTGATGCACAGAGCATACCTGAATAAGGGCTCAAAGAATGAGATCATCCTATCAGCCGGTGCACTGGGCAGCCCTCAGCTACTGATGCTAAGTGGGGTGGGACCAGCTGAGCACCTTAGGTCCCACAACATCACTGTGGTGGTGGACCAGCCCATGGTGGGCCAAGGAATGTCAGACAATCCCATGAACGCCATCTACGTCCCCTCGCCTAACCCTGTTGAGGTCTCCCTCATTCAAGTGGTCGGCATTACCCGGTTGGGAACCTACATCGAAGCGTCTAGTGGTTCCAACTTCGCTTCTCAGACCCCTCCAAGAAACTTCGGAATGTTTTCACCTCAGGTATATGTATGATCAGTATATATCAATTAATTAACCTTTCATAATGGATTTAATTTCCATCATTAATTAACTAATTAATTTTGGTAATAATCTTCATTAATATTAATATTGCAGACTGGTCAGCTCTCTGTTGTGCCTCCCAAGCAGAGAACTCCAGAAGCCATAGCCAAAGCAGTGGAAGCCATGAACGCTCTTCCGGATGAAGCTTTCAGAGGGGGATTCCTCCTTGAGAAAATCATCGGTCCTATCTCAACTGGTCATCTTGAGCTTCGGAATAGGAACCCATATGACAACCCTTCTGTTACCTTCAACTACTTCAAGGACCCCGAGGACCTAAGGAGGTGTGTTGATGGCATAAATACCATCAAGAAGGTGATTGAAAGCAAAGCATTCTCCAGGTTTAGGTACCCATACATCTCTCTGGAAGCCCTTATCAACATGACGACCAATTTTCCGGTGAACTTGCTGCCCCGGCACGACAATGATTCTACATCCATGGAGCAGTTTTGCAAGGACACAGTGATGACCATATGGCACTATCATGGGGGCTGCCAGGTTGGTAGGGTGGTGGATCAGGATTATAGGGTTCTCGGTGTGGATGCTCTTCGGGTCATCGATGGTTCCACCTTCAATTACTCTCCCGGTACCAATCCTCAGGCCACTGTTATGATGCTTGGAAGGTAACCACATCATCATCATCATCATCATGGCACACTCCTCATTGCTATATTAATATTGATTAATTAATACTCAATTTGGTAATGCAGGTACATGGGTGTGAGGATTCTAAACGAGAGGCTTGCAACGGAAGGATCCAAGTGAAAAAAAAAATGTAATGGAATAATTTTATTGGTGCCATTAATGGATCTTTGGGTGTGTTTGGGTGAGATGTAACGGAATAATTTGAAGAAGCTCTTCTACATTCTTTCAAAGTATATTGAGTTACTCAACTGATACTGGTAATAAAAGATGGGCCATTTAACATTAATTGTCGATCCACTGAGTAGTGTTTGTTACTTGCTTTCTTTCTTTAATGGGTACATTCGGAAAATGGTCGAGTTTGTTATTACTGTCTCCATATTTCTTGGATCTTTGATACTTGTTATCGTCTCCCCATTGTTTAGTCATGTGGATTCTTCACTTTAAAAAGGAGAACTTTTCAATATGTTTTTCTAAATAGAGTTGCAAATGGATCGGGTTCTGGGATTTGTGTCCCGATTAATAATTGGGTCCTTGTTGCCGAACCAATTATATAGTTAATAATCCATGGAGGTCACTCCTCTTTTCTTTTCTTTTTTTTTGTATTTTTTGTTATATTATATCTAGGGTAATCTTCTGTATAAGATAACTTTGGTTAAAACTTTTCTTTTAATTTTGGTTAAAAACATTTCTTTTATCATGGATAAACAGTTTAATATTTTAGTATCATTTTTATTATCAAAATGAAGTTCTAAGTTGTTATTATTACAAGTAATATCCCGATTAATAATTGGTTCAGTTCGGATTTGTCTTTTAAAACTGATTAGTGAACGATTTGAGACTGGTCCACCCTGTTCCAAAAGATCCAACCCATTAACAGTTTTAGTTCTGAAAAATGTTAGCTAGTCGTAGATTTGTCCTATTTCATGGCTAATGGTTTGGAATGGCAAGTGCACTAGCCTCATTCCCTTAGGCCTTAGGGTGGATTGAGCCCGAACGATTGGTAGTACTGGTTTTTGGGTGAATTAAAGGTGCAACTTGGGCAGGTTGGATCAGGTTTAAGCTCAACCCAGACCTTACCCTAAGAATTGCACCTAAGGCTCAGTTTGGAAGGAGTATAAATGCATATTTGTAGAATGCAAAACCTGAATCCAGATTGAGATGGAGGTCAATACCAATTTGTTCAATCCAATCCCAGCTTACAATAAAAATTGATGCATTCAAATATATATATATATATATATATATATATATATATATATATATGTGTATGCAAAACCAATTTAAAAGGGCTAGGCGGAGGCCCAGCTTAAAAAATTTAAAAGTCCAAATTTTTGTACCCAAACCCATCCCAAATATTGGAACTCCAAAACCAATGTGTAAAATTGTAGGTTTGATCAGTCCATGCTCAGGTTAGACCCACCCAACCCAATTGTCAAGTCTACCCGTAGGCAAATCATTCATTGCACCATATTAACATTTAGTACCAGGTTTTAAGAACATTGGTACCAGCCACCATGTTATAGTTGGAGATGAATTACAACCATACTTTGCCAAAGTATGAATCACATTATTCAGTCCAAACACACACAAGATTTTAAAAAGCTAGAAGTATAGTTGAGGCATAATGGCCTAAAAAAGGTGAGGCGAAAGCCTCAAGGCGTTGCAAGGCATGCCTGAAAGTTTAGGGAAAAAAATTAATTAAGTTTGTAAATTGATGAAAATAACATATAATCTGCCAAATTAGTTGATTAGTTTAAGAAAAAATTAATCAACTAACAATTATAAACATTTTACATTTCATGTAATAAACAATTTTAGAAGAAATGAAACAATTTTAGAAGAAGAAAATTATTATTAAATTTAGAATAATAAGAAAATTCTCACTTGATTTATCAAAAAGAAACTAAGAACTTGATTAGTCTTTCTTTGCATTGAACTCTCTTAAACACTAAGAAAAACTAATAGAATTTGATTTGCTTAATTGATTTTTCCTTTTTTTTTTACTTTTTTATTTGGCTTATAATTATTGAAGTCTTTTTTTTATATGTTTAAATTATAAAAATGTATATTTTTTGCATTAAATCACCAAGAAATCATTCATATTTGAGACTTTAGCCTTTTTACGGCTCAGACTACGCCTCATGCTTTAAGGCTTGAGGCTTACACCTCATTTTGACAAAGGCTTAAGCCTCGCATCAAAGTTGTGAGGCTTAAGCATTGAAGAAAAATTCGTGTGCCTTGCTTCAAAGCATGTATACCTCACACCTCAAGACTTAAGCCTTTTAAAACAACGGCCTGCATGGTGAGTATTGCGTAAGTACTTGAAAAGTTTTTTGACACCTATCCTTTAAAATACCCCCAGCTTACCCTTACAAAAAGGTTAAAAACAACTTTTGATGCAGTTATCAGAATATTTATTAAGTGCTCATTGAAAGTACTTGCAATGTCATGCTACTAAGATCTGGACTCCACCTGTATATAGAAGAAGGAGATGATAGAATGTTGGAAAGAGCGCAGAAGAGATATGTCATCTGCCACAGCAGTGTATAAACACCAAGGTATGTTCAAAAATCAAACTAGCACCTGACAATATAAATATTAGTTCTGTGGATCTCCTCATGAGAGAGTTTCTCGAGTCATCATTAAAACCACCCTAATAGCAACGTGCCGATAAGTTGGTTGGTAAGGTCTCCTGCTGATTGTAGAAAAGATTTGGGATTGAATCCCGCCTGTACCTGTGTTTAGGGGGCATCCCCATTGTGCGTAGATCCTTGGATAAAAAAATAAATAAATAAATAACATCCCCATTGTGTGTCTACCAATTTGAAATGAATGGACCTAGCAAACAAGAGAAGACCATGGTAGCATCCATTGCCATTGAATTGGGATGTCCGAATTGTTATCTAATGTGTGATGGTATCCATCGAATTAGGAGTGTTAGCGACCGCCCAATGGATTGGATTATAAAGGCTGTCAATGGACCAGGTTATGGTCCAATTCGACTGAATCTAATATACGTCCTATGAAACTTTGAATGGTAAGAAAATGCCGGCGTGCTGGACAGAGCAGTTTCACACTTTCACTGGACTAAGATTAATACACTTCTATCATCTTTTGCTTTTGTCTAGTATTCTCATCTCATCTAATCTAAGCTGCTCATATGCTAGCATATAGCCTGTAAAGGGCAACTAGTAATCAAAAAACAAGCAGCCAGACATGTACAGTTTACTATATATCAATGATATCGATTGCTTTTATTAAAAAAAAAAAATTATGCTTCTTAAGCACGGTCCTAATGGATGGGATCACAGGATTGTAACCCATCCAATCCCAACTAATTGAAAACTCCCTCGAATTTTTGTTGATTTCGCTGATAGATTTTTTATATCACTTTCCCAAAGTTAGATTGGCTACCTGGTGGTGGTGGATGTAATCCTGTCTTTTTTTTTTTTTTAACTACGGCATTCTCTAGATTTGTCGCTCAAATTGCGCCAACCATATTCTTTTTTTCTCTCTACTGGTGGATGTAATTCTGTCGAACACCTCATCTGCCCTTTGTTCCACACGGGCTTTATTCCCAGAGGTTTCCACAATAGATGGGGTTACCTTAGTCCAATTAGGCGGAGCAGGAAAACCATCATAAGAGGGAGGTCTTAGTAGGAATTTTCTTTCCAGTGACCTCTGATTCCCATTAATGGGGAGATGGAAGATCTCTGCTCAAAACAAGATATACATAAAACAAGAACAAAAATCACCTCTCCACCACCTACGCCATAACCTGGGTACACAAGATTAACTAACCTGTGTCTGATGGACCGATATAGCAAGAAAAATAGGGTTCAACTGAAGGTGGCCCAACGCCTATTTGGAGGGAAAATCACCTCTGACTGCATCTGATGTCGTCGTTTGTATCATGTAGAAAGGCTTCAGTGGCTAGTCACTGACTAATAGCAGATACTTTTCTTCAGACTTCGAGCTTCCACCACACATTGGCCGGACATCTGAACTCGGTCGTTGATACCAGAAGGAAGCCAGGCAATTGACCTGAGGCTATTGGTGAACTGCGACAGTGGAGAGCTAACGATGACCAGTAATAAGGGAGAAAATGGAGTGTGAAAGGCGAGAAGCCGAGAAAGAATAATAACAAGTTCCCTCTCCTTCTGAAAATTCCAGATTAAAACGCGACAATTTAGTATCTGAATTTTCAAAACGTTCCAGTTTAGTACCTAATAAGCCGTTTCAGTATCATTTGAAAAGACACAAATACCCTTCAAATGTCATCTAATTCTTTTTATTAAGTATATGTTTGGCATCGATGCTATAGATGTAATATCGTTTTCTAAAAAACGGTGCTGCTGATATGTGGGTTGGAATACCGTTTTTTCAGAAAATGATGCATTTTTTTTGTTTGAAAAAGTTGCTATCAGGTAAGACGTTTCTTGGAACAACAACGTTGTTTTCTGTTTGGTACTGATGCTCTAGGAAACGTTTTCAGCACTAGTACTCATTTATCTAGTGCCATGTCAATGTCACCTCACGTCCATTTTGGCAGCAACGAGTTGTAGCTCCAAGAAACGTCAAATTTGGCGTTGCTCCAAGCCATGCCTTCCCAACTTCCAAGACGTGGCTTGGAACATCGTTTTTTATGGAAAAACGGTTCCAAACAAACACCCATTTTCTAGAGCACCATTTTTTTTCTGACATGGCGTTGATGTGGCGCTGTTTTCTGGAGCAACAACAACGATGCCAAACAGATGCCAACCATCCAAACATTGACAAAAAGTGAACAGTCTCAAATCCTTGCTTCTTCTGTTCAAGAAAGTTGGGGCTACCAGCATGCCCACTGAGACATAACCCTAACTTTCTTGAATAGAAGAGACAAGGATTTAAGACTATTTATTTTTATCAACACGTGGATGGTTGATAAAGAAAATTATATGACATTTAAAGGGTATTTGTGTCTTTTCAAATGACACTTAACGGTTGGTTAATGGCATGTACTAGATTGGCACATTTTGAAAGTTTGAGTACTAAATTATTGTGTTTTAAAGTTTAGGGACCAAAGTGGCACTAGACCGAAAGTTTGAGTACCAAAATGCCCCCTTTGCTCGAAGAAGACCCTATGGATGGACGATGGACAATTGGGCTACGTCAAGGGGTGATCATTAAAAACCGAAAAACAGAAAAATCAAGATGGTGTTTGGGCCTGGCATCGATGCGTTTCAGGGCTGATTCATTTCTGCTAAGGTGGCAAACATGATAGTACATCAGCAAGTAAATGGAATC